CCTCCCAAAGTGCTGGGATTACAGGTGTGAGCTACCATGCCTAGCCAATCAGGGCTCTTTGAATTCCTTCACTGTTTTATCCCCAGCGCCCGGAACAGAATTGGTGCTCTGTAAATATTTATTGAATGAATGACATTAAACAAACAGTTGCATTGAACAAAATCTCCTCTATGCCTGGCCTGGTGTTGGGTGGTGCAGGAGACACAGCAGTGACCACGGTGGTTCCAGTCCTGTCCTGCTGAGGCTCCCAGTCCTAAATAATCAAGGCAGTTCCAGGGCTCAGTCCTCACTGGGCCTCCTGGAGAGGGGACAGACCCATCCCCAGACAACGATGACCCAGTGTGGTCAGAGCTGGGGCGGGGGAGCTGGGGCAGGCAGAGAGGGCTTCTTTGTAGGAGAGGGCATCTGAGGGGGAAATGTCAGTGTTGAACCCAGTGTAGACAGTGTGCATAACTCAATTAGAGGCTGAGGATGTGGCTGAGATCAGAGGTGGTGTGGGTTGTGTCCGGGAATCTGTGCTTTGTCCCAAGGGCACTGGGGAGCCAAGGAAGGGTTTGGAGCAGGGAAAGGAGAGAACCCAGTGTAGACAGTGTGCATAACTCAGTTTGAGGCTGAGGATGTGGCTAAGAGTCAGACCCCTGGAGATGATGTGGACTGTGTCCGGGAATCTGTACTTTGTCCCGAGGGCACTGGGGAGCCATGGAAAAGTTCAGAGCAGGGAAAGGAGATAATTAGACTCAAGCTGCCTTTTGGAGGGTGGATTCAAGGCAGGTGAGTCTCGGAGCCTGGAGACGAGGCAAAAGGCTTGGAGGTTCCTGGATCAGGACAGGCCTTGCAGAGGGAGAGGAGAAAGGGGAGCGCCGGTTTCAGAGCAATTTTGGATGTGGAATGGAACATTCTCAGGGGAGGCTGCCAGGGTGGAGGCGGGGCAGGAAGCTGGGCAGGCAAGGAGGCCAAGAAGGTTCTAGGGGGTGGAGGAGCCTGAGGTATTGGTTTAAGGAGCAACGAGAGTGGGTGAGTCAGAGCCCCCACCCCCACCCCCACCCCAGGAATCCTCCTTCGGAGGGAGCGGCCCAGTGTGGACGGGGCTGCCACTCCTGGAACCTTCGGAATTCACCTTGCGCTCCTCTGCCCAGGCGGCTCTGCAGTGTCTGTCCCTCTCTTTTTCTGTCTCGGTATCAGTCCCTTTTCTACCTCTCTCTCAATCTCTTTCTTCTCCATTTTTACTTTCTTTTTATTCTAACTCCCTTTCCTTCTCTTTCTCACCCTGTCTGTCTCCTCCTGACTCTCCATCTCTCCCCCGCTCCGCCGCCGCCTTCTCTCTGTCTTCCTCCTGGTCTGTCTTAGACTCCCCCAGGTTCGTTCCCGCGGGTCCCTTGGCGGGAGCTGGAGCACAAGGCTCAGGGACAGAGGGGTGGGGCCGGGCCAGACACCTGGTGCCCCCGCCGGGCTGGGGGCGGCTCCGGAAACCCAGACAAACCCCGGAGTCAGGGACCCAGCCCCGGCCCGGCCCGCCTTCCCACCTTATCTCTTCCTGGCACCTTCCCCTGCTTCCTCTCTGGAAAAGCCATCAGTGCCCTCCCGCCTCCCCTCCTTTGGTCCCTATGGAGCCGCCCTTCGGCCCTGCCCCCTGACTCCATTGGCCCGCTCTCACAGGCCCCGCCCCCAGCCCGGCCACACCCCTGCCCTGATTGGTCCTTCAGACCCTTAGGCACTCCCTCCACCTCTTCCTGCTGGTTCATCCATGGCTCCCCAGTGCCGCTCAGGACACAGGAGCATGGGATTCTGGGTTCGCTGTGACCAAGGTTCACTGCCCCTCCGAGGTAATCACCCTTCTCCCAGTGCCTCAGTTTCCCATCTGTACGTTGGAGGGTGTGGACGAATCCTCTGACTCTAGGTCCTTCGACTGAAGTGATAGCTGCTAGAAGGGGCGATTTTATGATGCTGTGATATGTGAGACCAAGATCTTGGGAGGGTCTGATTCTAAAGACGCCAAGATGCCCTGAACCTTCAGACCACATTCTCTGCAGTGGCCCAGTGACATTCATTCAGCAGTTGCCGAGCACATGCGGCACTCTTCTAGGCTCTGGGGATACAGCAGGGCACAAAGATAAATTCCTTTTCTCGTAGAATTACTTTTTAGTGGGGAAGCAGACATTAAACAAATCAATAGTTATGAAGAAAAATGAAGCGGAGGAAAGAGGGGCTGGCGAGGGACTATCTTAGAGCGGTCTGAAGGAGAGGAAAGGGTGAGAGGAAGGGGCGAGCCGAGTGGCAACTGGGTGGAAGAGCAGTTGATGCAGTGAGGACAGCATGTGCAAAGGCCCTGGGGCAGCCATTTACTTGATGTGTTTGAACTGAGAGCCTAACAGGGCTGGAGACAGGGTGGTGGTGGAGGGTGGAAGAGATGAGGATTTAGAATCAGTCAGGGGCCACCAACATTCTCAGCATTCTAAATCCGTGATTCTTTAAAATATATATATATATTTTAGTTGGAGTCTTTCTCTGTCACCCAGGCTGGAGTGCAGTGGCACGATCTCGGCTCACTGCAACCTCTGTCTCCTAGGTTAAAGTGATTCTTGTGTCTCAGCTTCCTGAGTAGCTGGGACTACAGGCAGGTGCCACCACACCCGGCTAATTTTTGTATTTTTAGTAGAGATGGGGGGGGGGTCTCGCCATGTTGGCCAGGCTGGTCTCGAACTCCTGACCTCAGGTGATCTGCCGGCCTCGGCCTCCCAAAGTGTTGGAATTACAGGCATGAGCCACGGCACCTGGCCCTAAAAGAATTTTTTAACAAGTCTTTTTTATTGAACATTTAAGACCATCTCATGGAAAGGCATTCATTTTATCAGACGTGATTCTCCCACACCTCATCCCACCAGCTCCCAGGGCCTCTTTCCTAGAGGCAACCGCCGTAAGTAGTTTCTTGTGTCTCTTTCCAGATATGTTGCATTTTATAAAAGCATTTATTTACTTTTTTATTTTAATTATTTATTTATTTTTGAGACGGAGTCACACTCTGTCGCCCGGGCTGGGGCAATGGCACATGCCAGATTCCACTTGGGGCATCCTGGGATGGAGCTGTCCAGGAATGTTGACAAGACAATTAGCTCTGAGTCCTAAACTGGAGGGAGAGGCTTAGGCTGGTATGCAGATTCAGGAGTGGACCTCTTTAAGGGATGTTTAAAACTGGGAGGGACTGAGCTCACTTAGTTAGAAGAGAGGAGGAGCCCAGGGTGAGCCCCAGCAGGAGGAGGCCATGGGGCTCACAGTGTGGTGCTGCCACCTGTAGCACCTGTAACTTGTCAGAAATGCAAATTCTCATCCAGACAGTGGCTCTTGCCTGTAATCCCAGGTACTTGAGAGGCTGAGGTGGGAGGATCCCTTGAGCCCAGGAATTTGAGGCTGCAGAAAGTTATGATTGCACCACTGCACTCCTGGCTGGGTGATAGAGCAAGACCCTGTCTCAAAAAAAAAAAAAAAAAAAAAAAGCTGGTCGGGCGCGGTGGCTCACGCCTGTAATCCCAGCATGTTGGGAGGCTGAGGCGGGTGGATCACCTGAAGTCAGGAGTTCAAGACTAGCCTGATCAACATGGAGAAACCCCGTCTCTGCTAAAAATACAAAAAAAATTAGCCAGGTGTGGTGGTGCGCACCTGTTAATCCCAGCTACTTGGGAGGCTGAGGCACGAGAATTGCTTGAACCCAGGAGCTGGAGGTTGCAGGGAGCTGAGATTGCACCACTGCACTCCAGCCTGGGCAACAGAGCGATAATCTGTCTCAAAAAAAGAAAAGAAAGAAAAGATGAGAAACGCAAATTCTCATGCCCCAGGCCAGACCAAGTGAATGGGAATCTCTGGGAGTGCGGCCAGCAGCTTGTTTTAACAAGCCCCCTGGTGGACCCTGACGCAGGCTCAGGTGAGAACTCTTCCCACAGGTTCATGCTTACATCATCAGCTACCTGAAGAAGGAGATGCCCTCTGTGTTTGGGAAGGAGAACAAGAAGAAGCAGCTGATCCTCAAACTGCCCGTTATCTTTGCGAAGATTCAGCTGGAACATCACATCTCCCCTGGGGACTTTCCTGATTGCCAGAAAATGCAGGTGGGAAGCTGCCCGGGAGGGGAAGCTGCCCGGGAGGGAGTGTTAGGGGGTGGGTGATGGGAAGGTTGGCTTCTGGAAGCTCTGAGATGGGACCTCAAAAGCCGGAGGGATGGGTGGCAGGTTCTGGAAAGCACCTCCCTCAAATAGTTCCGTGGGAGCGTGGTTTTATGAGTCAGGCTAGAGGAGTGATGAGAAAACCTGAAATAACAGTGGCTAAATTAAGAGAGAGGGTTTTTCTTTCTTTCCTCCATAAAACTCCCAGAAAGTGGTCCGGGACTGGTTTGGTGCTTTACAGAGCTAGGGATCTAGTCCCTTTCTGTCTTATTTCTCTTCCATGCCTGGCCTCCAGGCCCAAGGAACCTCATGGTACAAAAGGGCTGTGAAGGCTTCAGCCACTGTGTCTGCGTTCCAGCCAGCAAGAAGTTGGGAAAGGGAAGAAAAGTATACAGTCTCTTTAAGAACGGTTTCTGTTTATTTTATTTTTCATTTGTTTATTTATTTGAGACGTAAATATTTATATTTGTAAAATATAAATATTTAAAATATATACGGTAGGGTGCAGTGGCTCATGCCTGTAATCCCAGTACTGTGGGAGGCCAAGGCAGGTGGATCACCTGAGGTCAGGAGTTCGAGACCAGCCAGGACAACATGGTGAAACCCCGTCTCTACTAAAAATACAAAAATTAGCTGGGCGTGGTGGCGCATGCCTGTAGTCCCAGCTACTGGGGAGGCTGAGGCAGGAGAATCGCTTGAACACGGGAGGCAGAGGTTGCAGTGAGCTGAGATCACGTCACTGCAGTCCATCCTGTGTAACCGAGTGAGATTCTGTCTCAATAAATTAATACTTTAAAAGATTTATTTATTTATTTATTTATTTATTTATTTGAGACGGAGTCTCGCTCTGTCGCCCAGGCTGGAGTGCAGTGGTGCGATCTCGGCTCACTGCAAGCTCCGCCTCCCGGGTTCAC